TGCCACCAAGCTAGGGTTAGACCGTGCTGTAGAATACGTTGGCTGCGTTCTGCAGGCACGACAGAGGGGGGGGAGGCGGTAAATAGGAACCTTCCCCCAACTGCGTTTTTTGGGTCGAAAAGGCGGTCAGCTCGGAAAATGGTTCCGAGCCTCCTATTTACCCTTCGAACGTAAACGAAGGTAAATGGCAACAGAACAACCATTTACCCTCGCGGATATGAGGACGTAGGAAGCCTCCCATTTGCCCTCCCCACCTTCCTACGCTGGCAAATTTTGCCTCCTTCGTCCCGCCCTTCGAAAACTCCTTGTTCGGGGATGTGCGACGAAGGGAGAAGGGAGGCGATGGGTTAGGGAGCACCACACCGGAACCTTATAAAGCCAACATCCTGTCAGAATCACTAGCAGAAAGTTTAGAAACAGAAAGAGGGTTTTCACTAGCAGCAGATAGGATACATATAGCAAACCCTAATTTGGGTTGTAACTACTATAGAGTACCCCACTGCAGACTAGACAATAACACATTCTGACACACCCCCATAGGCAAAGTGGGGTATAATCAGCACAGCAAGCAGTTGCATAAGAGTTCACAAGCACAAGCAAAGCTAGAGGCAGTCACAGAGGGCAAGTGCGGAGGAGGAGGGACTGTGAGAGGAGTGGAGATAGGAGGTGACGGATGAAGCCGCAGACACACGGGCAACAGGAGCCCGCACACGGTGGCTACCGGAGCAAGGGCCCTGGACTACAGGAGTAACTGGCTCCGCAGCTAAGACGAGCGGCAGGAGCAATGGACCCACGGGCAACTGGCGCAGCAGGCTCGCTGGGCTGCTGGAGCACACCGGCTCCGGACTACTGGCGCCGCTTGCGACATGACGGCTACCTCCGCTCAACCTCCCCCACTGTCGCAGACCCCCTTTCACACACCCCCCCTATGCACCCCTAGCTCCACTCTCACGACACTCCCCTAGCGCCACTCCCTCGGCTCCCACACACCCACCCTCCTCAGCGGTAACTGCAGCAGTAGGAGACGGAGGAGGAGGAGGAGGAGGAGCAGGGGAGGCCTCACACACCCGTCACCCCCATACTCGCCACCCCTACACTTGCCACCCGCGGGGAGGAAGAAGCCTCGCGGCGCACGGGGGCACGGGGCGGCGCAACGGGAGCACAAGGGGCGTGCGCGGGTCCCCAGGGCGGCGCGAAGGGATGGCGGGGGCCGTGCGCGGGTCCCCAGGGCGACGCGACGGGATCGCAGGGGGCTGCGCGCGGGTCCCCGGGGGCGGCGCGAAGGTCGACGGGAAGGGACGCGCGGGTCCCCGGGGTGACGCGACGGTCGATGGGGAGGGACGCGCGGGTCCCCGGGGTGACGCGTGAGGCAGTAAGCCGCGGTGCGCCCCGACCGTCGCCACGCGCTCGGGGCGCGTGGCGGGAAGAAAAAAAATGTCGCGCGCCACGGGGCGCGCAACAGACAGACAACAGCAGATGCAGGTGGGCCCACAGGCCAGGAGCGTAGACACTCTGATAGCATGTCAGAATCACCAGCAGAAAGTTTAGAAACAGAAAAAGGGTTTTCACTAGCAGCAGATAGGATACATATAGCAAACCCTAATTTGGGATGTACTCACTATAGAGTACCCCACTGCAGACTGGACAATAACACATTCTGACACACCCCTAACCTCGAATAGCCAAAACAGGGACGCAACAACACTAGCAGGAAAAATATCAAGTTTTGTGTCTTGCAGGTGGGTGTGCTGGGGGTCGAATTTCTTCCATCTGATACCCTTCTCTCAACTTCAACCCTCATTCTGATTTGGCGAAGCTCTATCTACCCACGAAGTGTGCGTGCGAAATTGTTCTTGTCTTTTCTTCATTTACTTTAAGAGTCTTCCACCCAAGAATCCAAAATTTTCCGCTTTCGGTTGTAGCAGGGGGGGGGGGGGTGATATCGAAGGGGAAACTGCTTAGGAACCCTCGTCATTTACCTTCGCCCCCCCTCCTCCCTCCCTCGTCGTATGCCTACAGAATGCGACCGTTTTTCTTGGGTGGAAGACTGGTGTTCCCACGCCGAGCACCTCCCTCTCGACACCGTCGCACTTCCCCGTGAAGGGCGGGTGGCCGATGGCAGGGCGGAGGCAAATAAATTTGCCCGAGGAGGAAGGTGCTGAAGGGAAATGACTGTTCTGCAGGCATTTCCCTTTCATGACTGCCACGTCGGCATTTTAAGGGCTGACCGGCCTTTAGAACCTAGAATTGCAGAGGCAGGCAGCTTCCTATTTCCCCTTCCCTTCCCTCCGTGATGCCTGCAGAACAACACCTTCGGTTCAGCTGGAATGGTGTGAAATGTTTCCAGTCCATTTCGTCATTCGTGTGATTTACGACACGAGGGTGACGATACTGTAGTTGGATGCTACAAAAAGCCCACTCAGCCGAGTTGACACATCTGTACATATACGTGCTCGTCCATTTCAACAAAGCGATCGGCAGAGCACTGCACCTGTGATTTCACTGCTGCCCGTGAAACGAAACATGTAAAAGGCTAATTTCGCAGAGGAGAGGATCCTTCTAGCTTTGCATGCTGGTGCCAAACCGTGATAACCATATACAAAACACATATCCGGTACCCCACGTACAGCGGCCGAGACTGTACTGTACATGGAACGTCTGCCCGTTTGAATCCGTAGTCGCAAAACGGTTACGGCGCATTTATCCCTCGAACACGAGCGACAGACCGTTTGTGGTTGTGCTTCTTCCAATTGTTCGTGTTTGTCGCATTTTCTGTTTGTTCCCTTCTTGAGAGCTCAGTTTGGCGCAAGGCTGAAAGGGTAAGCCAGACACGTACAGTACCCGATTTTAAAAAACGTTATGAACAGCACAGCATACTATCACTTCAAAAACGAAATTTGCGGATGTTGCAGGAGTTTGAGGGAATAGAGCCAGCCTGCACACCGATAGCCAGCAGCAGTTTCATGTTCAGCTAGACCTGGGTGACGGGATGGGACTCTCAGGAAGACCGAGACAAGCCTGCAGACGAACGTCTCTACAGTTTTTAGGATCAACGCGCTAGTTTCAACTTAGGTGCCGAGTCGCCCTTGCACGATTGGTACTGACGGAAGGACGCAGCATTGTCGCACTCAGCATTACATAGTAGGAGTTACTTTACTAATGTTCCACGTCCTCATTCACGTCTCGTTCGCTCCATAGCTTTGCGACGATGCCACATACATAAGAAGGGGAGAACGATAGCAACGTGACGTCTTAGTCGACTTAACCTGAACAAAGCTTTCGAAAGGCTGAGCTTCAACTACTATGTATAGGAGTATGGACGACGATCAGCTGTCAACACTCGTGAAATCACGAGATTGCGACAACGCTGAACTACAGACAACAACTGCTGTCGCTGGCGAGAATGAAAGCGACGTCGCAGGCAGGCAGCGCGCCGACGGCGCCGACGACGGAACCGCATGGGAAGGCGGATTTTCCGGCGACGCGCGCGACCGGCGAAGTTCACGGCAAGATTCCAGTAATGATGGCGCGTCACCAGAGAGCGAAGCGGAACAGGATGGAGTTCTGCACGACACCAACAGCCAATCATCGATGCTCTCCGGTCCAGGCAGCAAAGTCGCAGGCGGCGACGCCAGCGACTACGGCGGCGACGGCGAGGGCGACGGCGTCGGAGAGGACGCGGACTTGAAAGAAAAAGACGTCGAGGCGCCTATCCGCGTGCGACGCGTGGATTTCAACGCGGACAGCGAGAACCACTACATAATCGTGATCCACGGCACGTTCGACGCGCCGCCTGCGGACGGCGCGCCGACGTGGTACCAACCGCCGCCTCCTGGCGAGCAGAACTTCTGCCGGAAGCTGAGCCGGCTGCTCGCGCTGGGACCCATCGGCGAGAACGCAATCTGGCGCGACCTGCCGTGCTCCGCACTCCCGGGAATCCCGTACCCGTTTCACTGGGACGGCACCAACACGCACGCCGGCCGCGTAACGGCCGCGATGAAGGTGAGCGACGGAATCGAAAGGACGGTGAGCGGAGGAAATGAGAGGACGGTGAGCGGATAAGAGTTGGGGGGGGAAGGGGGGAGGGGGGGCTGGGAGGTGAAGTGTGTGGGGAGTTGGCGTCGCTGTGTAACGGTCGCGATGAAGGTGAGGGGACGATGGGGAGGGAATCGCCAGCGGGTCACTATAGGGAGTCGCCAGAGAGTCGCGAGAGAGCCGCCGGGGCAGTCGTCAGGGAGTCGCCAGAGAGTCGTCAGGGAGTCCCCTGATCCAAACCTCTCTCTGGTGAGTTTGGTCAAAGATTGCGGTGAGGTGTGTGGTAATGCGTTGTGGTGACCAATAGCGCGCGCAAATCAGCGTGCGAACGACTATGACCTCAAGTGTGTAATTCTGTAAGGTTCAGAACGACTCCCCGCGCTCTCTGCGGCGTGCTTCATTCGGATTTCTCCGTGCTGCCTGTTAGTAGATTAATCGCAACCTAAAAAATGTTTGCTTTCTTCCTCTTCTTTTTTACTCACTTTTGATTCTACTACAATATTTTTCCTTGCCTCCACCTACCCTCCCTCAGCTGCACAATCTGATCGACCAAATCGCTCAGAACGACCCTGCAGCTCGAATCCACCTGGTGGCGCATTCTCACGGCGGCAATGTGATGCTCAAGACGATCGAACTGGTGAGTGAAACGAGGGCTTCAGAGCTTACCTTGCACGCACAGAATCACATGATTTAGGTTCGATGTCCATTCGGTCGGAACCAAGCGAGCAAGCCTATACATCCCCTGCATATCACACTGCCCACCGTTCCCCCATTCCCCCTTGCGCTCCCACTTTGCTCCCCTCTCCGCTTCAACGCCCCTCTCCCACCCCCCCCACCCTCCCCCACGCACACCCACCCATCACCCTTTCACCTCAGTTACGACTGCCAATGTTTTGTATGCGCTTCAATAGTGTATTCTGAACAAAAAAAAAAAAAAAAAATCGCCCTTTCACCCCGAACAGTACATGGCGAAAATTGGGCGGCGGCAGAAGGGCGAGTGGCACCCGGCCGTGGAGAAGCAGTTTTGGGTGGCGCACCGGCGGAGCTACCAGCTGATCAAGAAGTGGCGGCGCATCGACATGCGCGGATCGTGGTGGCGCTTCTTCCCCTTCCTCGTCGTGTACCGAGGGTGAGTGGTCCGAGGGCTTTCTTTTCGAAGGTTTTCTTTTCCGAGGGTAGGCTGTGTTTTGAGGGTCGGTTTATGTTCCGAGGGTGAGAGTCAGTGAGGGAGGGAGGGAGGAGGGCGAAAGGGATCAAATGGAGGAGTGAACTAGGGAATGATATGGCGTTCGGTGTACAGGCGGACTAACAAATCAATCTATATAGTATTTCAACAGATTCGGCTTTTTGATACCTTTCATCTCCTTTATCCACCCCTCCTTTTCGTCGTCCCCCAACCCCCGCAGATTTTCAAGGGCAAAGGGCAAGTGAGGCTGAAATAGAGCAACTGAATAGCCACGTATTTCTCTCTCTCTCTCTCTCTCTCCCCTCCACATACAGTTTCAACGGACAGAAGACCGTCGGGGTGAAGGAGAGCTACCCGTGGGCGTACCAGCAGTGGCTGGACTCGCTGCTGCGGCTGCCGGCAGTGCGGCAGCGGCGCTTCCTGGCGTTCCGCCACGCCACCTCGCCCATCACCAACGCCCTCGGCGCCCTCGTCTTCCTCGGCACGCCCTTCTACATCAAAAAGTGGCAGCGCAACGGGCTGCTGTGGTTTGCGCTGTCGCTGCTCTTCTCAGTGGCGCTGATGTATGTCTTCATCATCGCCTACACGTCCTTCATCCAGTTTATCGTTCTGCTCATCGCCGGCCGGCTTCAAGAGTAAGTGGTTGGGTCCGGTGCGGTGCAGTGCTGGTTGCGGTGGTTGTGAGTGGTTGGTTGGGGTGCTGCTGGGCCTCTGTGCTAGTTGGTATGGGGCTGCTGCTCTTCTTGGTGGCGCTGATGTATGTCTTCATCATCGCCTATACGTCCTTCATCCAGTTCATCGTCCTCCTCATCGCCGGTCGGCTTCAAGAGTAAGTGGTTGAGTTGGGCTGGGCTGGGTTGGGTTGGGTGCAGTCCCGGTTTGTGGTGGTTGGGTGGCGTGGCTGTCGCTGTCGGTGGTGGTGATGTGATGTATATCCTCATCATCTCCTACACCTCCTTCATGCAGTTCATCATTCTGCTCATTGCCAGAGTGGTTTCGGAACGGTGCTGGTTGTGGTGGCTGGGTGTGGTGCTGTTTGTGAATGGTTGAGCCAAATGCATGGGATACCTTTAAACTCGCGCTTTCCTCGTCCCACTACACTTGTTGGTTTCCCTCGTCCCCCCCCCCCCATGATCTCGCCCCACACTCCTCTCAAGTTGTTACCCCTCCTTCACCCCAACTGCTGCACGCAGTCTGCCTCGCAGTCCCTTTTAGTGTGCCGTGTCGTTCTTTCTCGTCTGTGCCACCTTTGAGAATTCTCAAAAGCCATGTCGTTCCTTTCTCTTCTGTGCCACCTTTTGAGAATTCTCAAAAGCCGTGCCGTTCCTTTCTCTTCTGTGCCACCTTTGAGAATTCTCAAAAGCCGTGTCGTTCCTTTCTCTTCTGTGCCACCTTTGAGAATTCTCAAAAGCCGTGTCGTTCCTTTCTCTTCTGTGCCACCTTTGAGAATTCTCAAAAGCCGTGTCGTTCCTTTCTCTTCTGTGCCACCTTTGAGAATTCTCAAAAGTCGTGTCGTTCCTTTCTCTTCTGTGCCACCCATTCACAGCTTCTACACCCAGTCCGGCCCGCATTTTCTCATTGCAACATCAGTCATGCTGCTGGTGCTGATCAAGCAGATCATGGATGTGAGTAGCGGACAGGGAGGTGTGTCTTCGAGGGGCACAGGGAGAGGTGGATGTGAGTGGGTAGGTGGAGTGAGAGTTGAGTTGAGGCGAGTCAAACGTCACTTACTCATTGCAACATCAGTCATGCTGCTGGCCCTTGTCAAGCAGATCATGGATGTGGGTGTAGTGAGGACTGTACTTCTTTCCATCTCCTGCGTCCCCTCCCTCCCTCCCTCCTCACTCCCTCCCTCCCTCCCTCCATCCCTCCCTCCCTCCCTCACTCCCTCCCTCCCTCCACTCCCTCCCTCCCTCCCTCACTCCCTCACTCCTCCCTCCCTCCCTCCCTCCCTCCCTCCCTCCCTCCCCTCCCTCCCTCCCTCCCTCCCTCCCTCCCTTCCCTTCCCTCCCTCCCCTACCTCCCTCCCTCCCTCCCTCCCTCCCTCCCTCCCTCCCCTCCTCCCTCCCTCCCTCCCTCCCTCCCTCCTCCCTCCAGGCGGTGGGCAAACACAGTGTTTTACCAGCGGCAATCTGTACCACAACCCGGCCTTTGATTGTTCGCCTGCCATGTCAGCGCTCGTTATCCACGCTGGCAAGCTAGACGAGGTGAGCGCTCTTTCGTTACCATCCTATCTTTTGACGCGCATCAAACTTTAGGCCGCATCAAGACTTTTCCATGCTAGCAAGGAGGGAATTCTCGCCTTCCCATCATTGGCATGTCCTCATACCTCCCCTCCTCCTCCCCTCCTCTTGCCACCTCCTCTTGGCCTTTCTCTCCACTACCTCTCCTCCCCCCCTTTAAACTCAACAGGCCAGTCTAGCTCTATCCATGGAGCCAATCCACGCGAGCCTACGTCTTCCCCCACCTGACAAAACTCCTGAAGCAGACCCCCTGGGCGCCCTTCCCCAAGCCCCCCAACCCGCTACGCACGCCAGGTGGACTGGTGGGCGTTCCTATTCCACTGCGCCATCATCCTCGTGTGGGACACACTCTTCTTCCTCCCGGCCGCCATCATGTCTGTCTGCTCGCACATCATCGCGCCCATCGTCACGGGGACGATTCAGAAGATGGTGGTGACGATCAGCTTCGGGCTGTCGGCCGGGGATTTGAACCAACGCGTATATTTATGTGGATGAGCATCTGGATTTGGACCTGGCCTCGCAACAAGTCGACCAATGGAATGTGCAGGTGTGTTCAATCGTTGCCCAGTTATCGACAACCTCTCTTCCCCACCTTCTCGTTGCCACTCGTTTTCCGCTCTTTATGTCACGCGCTTTTGTCCACCTCTAGGAACACTGATTTGTGTTACATTAACAAGCGGTGAAGGTTTTTTTACCTGCTATCCTTAGCTGTATCCTAGTCTTGGCTGGATTTGCAGATATTATGCCAAACATATGCGAAAATCCTGAATCTTTTTACTGTTTCATACAGTTATTCCAAATCGTTGTTCTCCTTCCTGTCCGCACCGCAACCCCTTTCGCACTTTTCCCTCCCTCGAGATTCTCTTTCGCGCAAATCTCTCTCCCCCGATTCCTGTTCGCGCATCTCGTTCCCCCTTATTCCATCCACGACTTTCTCCCCCCCTGCCTGAAAGCGCCTCTCGTTTATCTCCTTCACTCCAATTCCCCTTATGTGCTGGTCATTCAAATTTTCGACAGTAGTTCATCAACCCCCGTCAAGTATTTCATTCCTCCGAGTTCAACTAACTTCGTCAAAATCATTTCCGAGATAGATGTTTTTTCCCGCCTGCTCTAACAATACCGATGGCAGTCATGAGTGACGCGGAATCGGTGTGCAAAGTTCGCTTCACTCTTGTGCAAGTCACTTCCGTTATCAGTTTTCCTCTCCCCTCCCTCTCAAAACTAAGTTCCGCCTAATCAGCCAGCTTTATGCGTAATATGGTAAACGGACACGTGGACATATGGTTAGGCCGAAGTTCACGTAAACGGTAAATAAAAGAGTCAACATTTTATTTAACCACGGTAACAAGTAGCCAACACAAATATGCATGCAAGCGAGCAAGTGGAAAAGGCTGTGGATGCCTTTTAGTGCATCAAATAATCCAACTCCAGTGGGGATGATGATCATGATGCAAACAAACATGCTCTCCTGCTGCTAGAATTCACCATGGATAGTCTGCAGTACCGTTACAACATAAAACAACCATATTAGTACAAGCCTAAATACCAACCACAGAATGACGGGGATAAGAGAATTTCAACCCCACAGTTGTTTTAACTGTTTATGATACGGTTTTTTGGAAGTGGAGTGCATGACGAGCAGTCATGGTGGGTGTTCCCAAACTGGTGCCTATGACGTTTGAGAGTTCTAGAACAATCCCTTACTATCGCAAAAAACTGCTGGAAGAGGCAAAGACGAATTCGCTCGAGGAGTTGATGTCAGGGATGACTACGAATTCGCTCGAGGCAGTTCCCACTCCCACTCTCTTCCATCTTCCTCTCGCTCTCATCCTTGCCTCTCGCAACCACCTCACCCACCCTTCCTCTCCGCTGCTGCCTCCTCTCCTCCCTCCTCCCCCCTCCTCCCTCTCTCCAGAAACTGCTGGCAGAGGCGAAGACCAAGTCACTCAAGGAGAGTTGATGCCCCGGCTATGAGGACGACACAGTGGAGCAACCCGAGTGGCTGGAACCCGTGTCACACTCCCCCCACCCCCACGTCTCGCGCTCTCCTCTCCGCTCTCCCCGCACTGCTGCTGCTGCTACATCAGTGGAGGTGAATCAGAGCAAGGACGGGGTTCACAAGCGCAGGGGTTTGGGGATGTGGTGGAAATGCGTCTTGCAGGGACTACTGGCGAGTCCGCTCACAAGCCACCTCGAAAGGGGTTTCGGAGCGTGGTGGAGAGGCGAATGGCAGGGAGAATTGGCACCAAGGCAGGAGGGGAGGAACAAGGGCGTCTCACTACCCCCGCCTGCTATGGAAGGAGCAGCAGCGGTGGAGGAAATCGGGGAGGGGGGTGTGAATGACGCAGACGGAGCAGGTATGGTGGAAGATGCTGCTACTGCTGCTGCTGGTTTATCCAGTAGTGCTTCCGGTGGTTCTGACGCCGCCGCTTCAAGCCCAGGGCTAGCTGCTTCCTCTGACACACAGCAGCACCCAAGCAGTCAAAAGGAGAGAATGGTACCTGTGCCTGAAGCACCAGAGGACAGTGGCAGAGAGAAGCTAGTGTACGAGTTCCTGTGGGACGATCAAGAGCTGGCGATAATAGCGGAGCAGTCGCAGACCTTCCAGCGGCTCAAGTCCCAAATGAACAAAATCGGGCGCAACCCGCGGCTGAGCGAGCGCGAGTTTGAGCGGCAGTTGCAGCAGCTGTGCGTGATGATTGAGGAGCGAATGGGAGAGCTGACTGGCAAGTTCGATCTCAACCATGGAGCATACTTCCGTGATCCTCGTATCCTGCGTGTGATTGCACACTTCATCGAGAAAAGGGAGCTTCCGGAGTGGTCGAAAGACATGGATGGGGATATCTGGCGTTGGAACGAGAATCTGGCCAAGATTCAATCCCAGCAGCTGCGGCAGATGGCGACTGGGAGCAGCTCGGGGGGAGCGGGAGAGGAGAAGGGAAGGAAGGAGGGGAGGGAGAGGGAAAGAGCCGAACTGCGAGGCTGAAGTCGATGCTGAAGAATATGCGCGGGGGGAGTTACAGGGAAGGGGGTGGGGCGACCAGGCCCAGAGCGGTGAACTTGGCGGATATAAGTGAGTTGGCGGAGGGAGCGACGAAAGGAGCGACGAAATTGGCCGAAGGGCTGTTAGGTTCGGGTGGTTTCCGAAGCAAGCCTCCGAGCTTCGGCGTGCCTGGGGTTACTTTTGCGAGCGTGAATCCAAAGCTATTGCAGCCCCGGATGAAAAGGTGGGTTCACCGTTTGATTGGCTGTGGTGGCGTCTATAGTAGTGTGTTGAGAGAGAATGTCTCAACGCAGTTTGCAGAGTCGGGTGGTTTTGGAAGGATGCTGCGGCAGCAGGAGCAGCAGCGGCGGCGGCAACAGTGGGCAGCCGATTCGCTGGAGGGGTTGATGCGCAGAGGGGAAAGAGCGGTGATGGGCAGAGGGGAAAGAGCGGTGATGGGCAGAGGGGAAAGAGCAGTGATGGGCAGAGGGGGTTGAGCGGTGAGCAGAGGGGGATGAGTGGTGGTGAGCAGAGGTGTGCTATCTCAAGGTAGAGTGAGACTTACGTGCATAGAGGACAGTGAGTGAGTGAGTCGCGCACACGGAGAAGAATGCGGTGGACTGGTGAGAAGGTACAGGAAACAAGGGTGATTTAGCAACGGACACACAGCAGCGTTCTCACACTACCCGTCTACCTCCATCCAGATGCAATTGCTGGTGTTCTGTGCTAGTTACGTCATAGGTCTTCCAACCAGACCGCAATTACTATATTGTCTAATAGCAGGTATATGATGATGGGGTGCTTGTTCATGTAGATACAGGGCGAATATCATCGCTCCTCAAAGCTCAAATATTGTTGTGCAAATACTAAGGGTACATTCCTGCCTTGACACTTGTGTCTCGAATATATTGTGACGCTCAAAAACAGCATAGAACGTGCTATGTCACAAACACGTGTCGCCCTAATGCGAAAGTAACCCTATTTTACATTGGTCAGCGTCATTTGCGCCGGTGTCGCGGACGAGTTGGACGAGGCCCCGTCAACGCCGTGAAATCGCACGCACGATCAATGTCAAGCAATTCCACTGCCCTGCCGCATGCACCTGGACGCTGGACCCCTTGACAGTTTAGCGCGGGAGACAAACCCGCCATCCCTGGGCAGCATCGAAAGGGTTACCATTTTGTGTGATACACGCAAGGCTGCCCGACGAACCACCACAGATCTAGAGCCTCCTCTCCAACCTGCTTCTAGGATGACTTCGATTCCATCTTCTCGGTAGTCCATTCAGTGTTCTTGTTTCTGGGACCCGCAAGCTCAGTAGCCCTCTCAGCGCCATGGCTCGTAAGCGCAAGAGTCGCGGCTGAAAAAGCGCCAACTTGAAAAAGCCCCGCGGGATATCAATGAGATCCCGCATATTGCTTGGTTTGCACAAGCACTGTCCTCTGGGCGCAAGCCGACCGGCCCGC